TCTGACACTGAAAAACTTCTTTCTAACGTCTCTGTGGCTCATTTGGGTACTCGGCTTCCACCTGTGTCCCCTTGTTCGCGTCCCACCAGTGTTGAATAGTTCATCCTTGTTTACCCGGTCGATTCCCTTGAGGATTTTGCAGGTTGTGATCATGTCCCTCCTTACTCTTCTGTCTTCCAGTGTCGTAAGGTGCATTTCCCGCAGCCTTTCCTCATAAATCATGCCTCTTAGTTCTGGGACTAGTCTAGTAGCATACCTTTGGACTTTTTCCAGCTTCGTCTTGTGCTTGACAAGGTACGGGCTCCATGCTGGGGCCGCATACTCCAGGATTGGTCTTACATATGTGGTGTACAAGATTCTGAATGATTCCTTACACAGGTTCCTGAACGCCGTTCTGATGTTAGCCAGCCTCGCATATGCCGCAGACGTTATTCTCTTTATGTGGGCTTCAGGAGACAGGTTTGGTGTGATATCAACTCCTAGATCTTTCTCTCTCTTTCATTAAGTACTTCAACTCCTATTCTGTATCCTGTGCCTGGCCTCCTGTTGCCATTGCCTAGTTTCATTACTTTGCATTTACTCGGATTGAACTTCAACAGCCATTTGTTGGACCATTCACTCAGTCTATCCAGGTCATCTTGTAGCCTCTTACTATCATCCTCTGTTTCAATCCTCCTCATAATTTTTGCATCGTAGGCAAACATTGAGAGGAACGAATCTATACCCTCTGGGAGATCATTTACATATACCAGCAACAGTATAGGTCCAAGGACTGACCCCTGCGGGACTCCACTTGTGACGTCTCGCCAATCTGAGACCTCACCCCTCACACAGACTCGTTGTCTCCTGTTGCTTAGGTACTCCTCTATCTACCGGAGTACCTTCCCTTTCACTCCAGCCTGCATCTCCAACTTTCGCACTAGCCTCTTGTGTGGCACTGTATCAAAGGCTTTCTGACAATCCAAAAATATGCAGTCTGCCCACCCTTCTCTTTCTTGCCTTATTTTTGTTGCCTGGTCGTAGAATTCAAGTAACCCTGTGAGGCAGGACCTGCCATCCCTGAACCCATGTTGATGCTGTGTTACAAAGTTCCTTCGCTCCAGGTGCTCCACTAGTTTTTTTCGCACAATCTTCTCCGTCAGCTTGCATGGTATGCAGGTTAGGGACACTGGCCTGTAGTCCAGTGCCTCCTGTCTATCCCCTTTCTTGTATATCGGGACTACGTTAGCTGCTTTCCAAATATCTGGCAGTTTCCCTGTTGCCAGTGATTTGTTATACACTATGGAGAGTGGTAGGCACAGTTCTCTTGCTATTTCCTTTAGAACCCAAAGGGAGATTCCATCTGGGCCTATAGCCTTCGTCACATTCAACTCTAGTAAACACTTCCTTACTTCCCCACTGGTAATCTCAAACTCTTCCAGTGGTTCCTGGTTAGCTATTCCCTCACTTACCTCTGGAATTTCTCCTTGCTCTGAGGTGAAAACCTCCTGGAATTTCTTATTCAATTCCTCACACACTTCCTTGTCATTTGTAGTGAATCCTTCCGCCCCTATCCTTAATTTCATAACCTGTTCCTTTACTGTTGTTTTTCTCCTAATGTGGCTATGCAACAATTTAGGCTGAGTCTTTGCCTTGCTTGCGATATCATTTTCGTATTGTCTTTCTGCCTCTCTTCTCATCCTGACATATTCATTCCTGGCATTCTGGTATCTTTCTCTGCTCTCCAGAGTCCTGTTATTCCTATAGTTTCTCCATGCCCTTTTACTTTGCTGCTAAGCTAGCCTACATCTCTGATTAAACCATGGGTTTCTCATTTTCATTTTTTCTGTTTTCCTTTTGGACTGGGACAAACTTGTTTGCTGCGTCCTTGCACTTCTGTGTGATGTAATCCATCATATCTTATGCCGTCTTTCCCCTGAGCTCTGTTTCCCATGCTATATCTGTTAGGAATTTTCTTATCCCCTCATAGTTTCCCTTTCGGTATTCTAACCTTTTGGTTTCGGTATCCCTCCTCGAGTTCAATAACCCTTCTTCAATCAAGTACTCAAACACCAGTACACTGTGGTCGCTCATTCCTACTGGGTCCTCAAACCCGATTTCTCTTATGTCGGAGTCGTTCAGAGTGAAGACTAGGGCCAATCTCGCTGTTTCGTCATTGCCTCTCATCCTTGTGGGTTCTCCGACATGCTGGGTTAAAAAGTTGCTTGTCACCACCTCCAATAGTTTGGCACTCCACGTATCCTCGCCTCCATGCGGTTCCTTGTTCTCCCAGTCAATCTTTCCGTGACTGACGTCGCCCATGATGAGCAGGTGGGATCTATTTCTACAGGCAGCAGAGGTTGCCCTCTCAATTATAGTGTTAACTGGCATGTTGTTGTTTTCATTCTCTTGACTGGTTTTCTGTCATTTGGTGGAGGGTTGTTTATTACTGCTACTACTATTCTTGGTCCTCCCATTGTTATGGTGCCTGCTATGTAGTCTCTGAACCCCTCACAGCCCGGGATGGCCATCTCCTTAAAACTCCATTCCTTTCTCATGAGTAGGGCCACTTCGCCTCCTCCCCTACCTTCCCTCTCTTTCCTTATTACTGTGTACTCCTGGGGAAACACGGCATTCGTTATGATTCCAGAGAGTATTGTTTCAGTGAGTCCGATTACATCTGGGTTAACTTCTTGTGCTCTTTCCCTTAGTTCACTTGTCTTGCTTGTGATCCCATCTATGTTCGAGTACATCACCCTCAAACTGACTCTTCTGCTTCTTCTCTGGGGGGGGGGGACCTTTGGGATCTGGGGTGAGTGGGAGCTGGGGGGACCTGGCACAGGGAGATTGGTTGAGGAGGGAGGGCTTGGGGTGGTGGGGGAGAGGGGGAGGGTACACGGGGTGGGTAAGAGGGGGAGGGTAGATGGGGAGAGGGAGAGGGTTGGGGGGGGGAGAGAGAGGGGGAGGGTTGGTGGGGGGGGGGGAGAGAGAGGGGGAGGGTTGGTGGGGGTGAGAGAGGGAGGGTTGGGGAAGCATGGGGGGGATGAGAGGCTTTGGGGGATAGGGGAGATGGGGGGGCTTGGGGGGGGAGAAAAGGGTGGAGGGCTTGGAGGGGAGAAAAGGGTGGAGGGCTTGGGGGGGGGAGAAAAGGGTGGAGGGCTTGGGGGGCGTGGGGGAAAAGGGAGGGCTGAGGTGGGTGAGGAAGAGAGGAGGGTTTAGGGGAGTGGGGGGGGTCCTCGTAGCCTGGTGGATAGCGCGCAGGACTCGTGATTCTGTGGCGCGGGTTCGATTCCCGCACGAGGCAGAAACAAATGGGCAAAGTTTCTTTCACCCTGAATGCCCCTGTTACCTAGCAGTAAATAGGTACCTGGGAGTTAGTCAGCTGTCACGGGCTGCTTCCTGGGGGTGGAGGCCTGGTCGAGGACCGGGCCGCGGGGACACTAAAGCCCCGAAATCATCTCAAGATAACCTCAAGATAACCTCAAGATAACGAGAGGGGAAGGCATGTGGGAGAAGGGAGGGCTTGGGGGATGGGGGCGAAGGGAGGTCCTGGGGAGAGGGGTGAGTGGGAGAAGGGGGGTGAGTGGGAGGAGGGGGGTGGGTGGGGGAGGGTGCCCTAGGTGGGTACTTAGTGGGGGGCTGGCAGGGGATGGGGCAGGTTGGGTGTCTGTTGGGTAGAATGTGGGGGTGGTGCCCCAATCCCTGTGGCTGTTGCACTGTTTGAGGAGGGTTCTCCACTTCCCTCTGGGATTGTAGGGTTCTGGGTTGTTGTACTCTGATATCTTTCTCTCTCCCTGTGCTCCTTCCTCGCATCTGCTGTCTGTATTCTCTCTTCCCTTGTCATATCCCTCTGCAGGAATACTTTTTTGAACTTCTCTACATTTGCTAGACAGCATTTCCTTGCTAACAGTTCCTCTGTCGTGATTTCGCTCATGAATACCACCTTTATCATTCGGTCCCTGTCCTTGTTGAACTTTCCAAGCCTGAAAACCTTTTCAACATTTTGGTCAGTTCCCTCCATCCTTACCTCTTTAAGGATCTTGGTAACTGCGTTTTTGTCCTTGTCTCTCCGCTCCTTTGGGCTGGTCCCTGTTTGCTCTTTAAAGCCTGCTACTACTACAGCTCTTCTTCTCTCTATCAGGAACATGTGTGGAACATGAACAGGAATGTGTGTGTGTGTGTGTGTGTGTGTGTGTGTGTGTGTGTGTGTGTGTGTGTGTGTGTGTGTGTGTGTGTATTGGGAAGTTATCACACTTATAACCCCAACTTCCGACAACATTCTTACATAAGAACATAAGAATAAAGGTACCTGCAGAAGGCCTACTGGCTCATACGAGGCAGCTCCTATTTATAACCACCCAATCCCATTCATATACATGTTCAACCCACGTTTGAAACAGTCAAGGGACCCCCCCCTCCACCACGTTACGTGGTAATTGGTTCCTAACCAATTAAGCACAGATATTTCATCAAATCACTTCAACATACTGGGGCTGCATGAGCATCAAGTGCGCTTCAAGTCTGAATAGTCCCCAAGCCAACATGCATATTGTAACCACAAAGCCAGCGGTGGCTTAGTGGTTACAGCACTGGACATGCCAAAGGACATGGAGGCTCTGGCTAACCGGGTTCGAATCCTACATGGGGTTAAGAGTTTTCTGATGCATGTTGATTTGTGGATCATTCAAGCTTGCCGCGCACTTCATGCGTCAAATGTGTATGCAAATTAATAATATGTGATGGAAAATAAAGTTTAGGAGTTTTCGAACATCAGTGAGTCCTTCTTCAGAGACGTTAAATGTTAAACTGAACAGAAGTAACAACGAGAACAGAATTCCGTTGTTACTGCTCCTGCTACTGATACTTCTGCTGCTATTACTACTACTAATACTACTTTTGCTGCTGCTGCTGCTGCTGCTACTTCTCTTGCAGTTAACCTCTGGTGCTAATGCTGCTGTTATTTTTGTTGTAGTTGCTGCTACGACTATTATTCTCATTGTCACTACAACTGTTGCAACTTCTCATCTGTTGCTGCTACTATTGTTAGTACTACTGTTGTTAGTACTACTGTTGCTAGTACTACTGTTGCTAGTACTACTGTCGCTAGTACTACTGTCGCTAGTACTACTGTCGCTAGTACTACTGTCGCTAGTACTACTGTCGCTAGTACTACTGTCGCTAGTACTACTGTCGCTAGTACTACTGTCGCTAGTACTACTGTCGCTAGTACTACTGTCACTAGTACTACTGTCGCTAGTACTACTGTCGCTAGTACTACTGTCACTAGTACTACTGTCACTAGTACTACTGTCACTAGTACTACTGTCACTAGTACTACTGTTGCTAGTACTACTGTCACTAGTACTACTGTCACTAGTACTACTGTCGCTAGTACTACTGTCGCTAGTACTACTGTCGCTAGTACTACTGTCGCTAGTACTACTGTCGCTAGTACTACTGTCGCTAGTACTACTGTCGCTAGTACTACTGTCGCTAGTACTACTGTCGCTAGTACTACTGTCACTAGTACTACTGTCACTAGTACTACTCCGGTTGGTGCTAAAATTACTCTAATAAGCCTGCTGCAACGACACACGGACGGCTTCACAAACGCGGAATAACAAAGGAAATTACAGTCACATTGACGCGCGCACAAACGTGCTGAGTGGTAAACAAATGTATGCACAGGGACCTGCTACCTGACGCATACAGTAAGTCGCCAACACGCATGACCGTTACCAAGCTGAAGCATACAGCAACACGCCAGCCGCTTGCCCGTTACCAAGCTGACCCATACAGGAACGTCGGCGTTATCAAGCTGACCCATACAGGAACGTCGGCGCTATCAAGCTGACGCATACAGGAACGCGTCAGCACACAGTAACGTTACCACCTAGTAAGTCGAGGATCGCGTCCTCGACTTGCAAGTTGCACTTGAAATACTAATTTCGTCCATCATAGATTTACATAAATTAGTACGAGAAAAGATTAGAAAAAACTTATTCTCTTCTTCATTATACTTTCATACTGCACTTACAATATACCAGACAAATGGATAACACTAAAACAGTATACCGCGTATACTTTATACCAGGGTAGGTTATACCGGAGTGGGTTTTTTCCCAGAGACTGGAGAATGGTCTCTCTATCTCCCCAGTCGACAAAAAGGTTATACTAGAGGTTATACCTCTGACGTTATACTGGAGACGGTACAGCGACGGTCTCGCTACATGCAGGTCGGCGATCAATCCCCGACCATCCAAAAGGTTGGGCACTATTCCTTTCCGCCGAGAAAATGGTGTCTACCAAGCCTGCGTGAGCAACAATAGAGCAGCCTCCTCGCCGCACGAAATGGATTGTAATAGGCTTTACGGTTTGCGCCTGGACCTGCCTGGCCCCTTGACGTTGTGTGAGAGTCTTGGAGCACCAACACGGGGGAGAGAGAGAGAGGCTCCTCCCCAGAGCTGAAGCACCGCTGCTCGACGCTCTTGGCCAGCTTGTATGTGTTGGTTTTGTTACTTTATTTAGATATATTGTAAGGGAAGAAAAACAGTTCCTAATGGAGAGTTTTTGTTATGAAGAGACTGAAGCGACGGAGACGATTGGAAACGACAATCTCTTTTTAGATTAAATTTATCTTTGAATATTTGAGAACTCTTTTCAGCGACGAAGCACCGTGTGGGCGGAACAGAATCGTCTTAAGAAATTAGTGTGAGATTGACGACCAAACTGAAGACCAGGCTGTTTCAAAGTCAAAATCCGATTTATTCCAACAAGATAATGAACACATGACTAACATTGTGAACAATGGAACTCATCTCACATAGTAAATGTTAGGTAGAAGTAAGCTTATTTTACCATTCTTGTCGTAGAGAACTGGATGGAATAAAAATAAACTCAAAATCGGAATTTTTTGTTGTCAGGCGAGCTCATTTCTCAATCTAAAAGAGTGCAGTGCAGAGCTTCAACATTTTCCCAAAATGTGAAAGTTCATCACACCTCGAACATTGGATATTTCGGAGAGCTATTTTCCAAGTAAAATTCAGGTGAGTGAGTGGCGGGAGTTCAAGTGATAATATAAGAGAAGAAATATATCCCTCAAAGCTCAATCACCACTACCGTTTAAAATGCGTTTCGTGAGATGGCAGCAGCGGGAGGCAGCAAGAGAAAGAAGCATGGTCGACATGAGACTAAAACTAACTTTCTACAACGTTAAGAGAACGAGACGTTTAATTTTGTAAATTCTTCGAAAGTATAGGGACCAGTGATTCCCACTCTTTTTATACCGGTCTTTTTGGTTCTTATTCCAAGATCCCGAGGATCAACGTCCCTGCGGCCCACTCTCCATCTGGGACTCCTGGTTGGTGTACTGGTCTTTAACGTGGCTCATTATTTTCCGACTCGCAGCCTGACGTTCGAGTAACAGCCTGGATGAGATTAAAAACATGCATAACAGAAAAAACTCAAGATGCAAGGCACTACATATCCTTGAAGCCCTACACATAGAAGTAACTATTCACTCTACCCACCATGAAAGGGAAAGTAATACCGGAACGTGAACATGCCAACGATGACATCACTGCCCAAAATGTCATGCCCACAAAGATCACTCGAGTCCTAATTATCATATCACCTGACTTATCCTTGTATGTTTATATTGACCCCATGCACTTTACCTCTACTCTTTACTTTCATCTTTCTCCTGACTTAATTTTATATGAACCTGACCTAATAGTATTTTAAATCACATGTTCCCTCTTGTCTCCGTGCCAGGTAAGTTCACTACGGGCTCACCATAGTCCGTGCTACTTGCTCCGCTCCTGTGCCAGGTAAGTTACGGGCTCACCGTAGCCCGTGCTACTTGGAACTTGTTCCGAGTAACTGAATCTATAACAATAACAACCTCCTGTCTCCTCACCGACAAATCAATGAAGATTACTTTTACCACCATAGCTGCAGTCACTCAAGCTGCCGCACAAGGTTTCTACTGCTTCGGCTTACAAATACAACCCCACCAAGTAAAAAAGGAACGATACCATGAGATCCAGCAGTGTTTTAAGTGTTATGAGCTCTCATCACTAATGGATGAGAGTTGGACCATCACTACTCTATATATAAGGCAACAACCCCTCGCTGCTTGCTCTGTGATGGCAATCACCTTGCAATTTCCTACCGCTGCCCCCACAGACAGGAAAACATCAAGGCCCAGGTTGAAGCCAAGAGAAACAACCCTTCTACCTCCGCGACCAGAGCCTGAGGCGCTCAACCCACCACCACAGCTTCCACCAGCCAACCAAAAGATTTTCCAGTCTTACCGAAGAGTGGCTCCTCCCACCAGGTGACCCAGCCTTCACGATGGGGACCCAAGGCCCCACAGACAACTTTGCAGCCCCCTGCATCACGTGCAGGCATTATCCCTGATCTTATTAGACTATTGGAGAGGCTTGCCGGACCGGACAACCACCTTTTTGTCAGTGAACTGAACACATTATACCTAGCCAATGGCCTGGATCCCATCATAGCCCCTGGCGCAAGTCTCACTGCCTCCACTACCACTCCGGAGACTACCACCAAGACGACCACGAGGTCGATTTCAACGAAGACTCAAGAACCACCCAAGACCCGGGCAGCATAAACAGAGGTATTTCCCAATCCAGCTCCCAACACTCCTACCATCACAACCTCAGCAGCCACACTAGCAGACGTGCTGTCTACAAATGCTAACAGAACCACCAACGCTCATGAAATATCTTCTACCACCAATCCACGACACCTGAGCCTACCTCACGCTGCTAGACGAAAGACGAAAACACGAACTACGGAGGTTACGGACTCCTCAGACGAGAAAATCTTAATAGGAGCTCCACCGCCACACCACAAATATGACACCTACACGGCACAAGACCTCCTCATCAAGGCCACTTCACCAAACTCCAACGACAGCACGGCTCAGCCAAAGTCTCAGGCAAAGAAAAAAAGCGGAAGATCTAGAGGTCTACGCTAACCCCACCAGCTCCATAACTGGTACAGCCAGTCCTCCAGGGCTGAAAATAATTATGAAAACCCCGTCCATCCCCAGACCTCTGGTATTAGCTATTGACATAGATAATGGCTGCAAAGAGCCTCCACATACGGGCTCACCATAGTCCGTGCTACTGGAACTTTTTGTTCTGAGTAGCTGAATCTGCAACAACCTGTCTCTTATACAAGTATTATACATTTTAAAGTTAATTTCTGTTCTTTTAGTCAACCTTAAACATATATGACATTTGAAGAAATCCTCTTCCAATTAAACCAAGATGCACGAGCACTGATCAGAGGAATAGAAGCCCTAAACAAGAAAATAATCAACACAATATTAAAATTCAATGAAACATTATATTATATATATATATATATATATATATATATATATATATATATATATATATATATTGTGACAATAATCTCCTTCAAGAGATTGAGCCTGCTCTTCCCTCCACAAACACGTCGTTGAAATTATATAAAACGACTATGGAAGACATGTCCAACAACAACAACAACAACACCAGCAAGGCTTGCCAGGGTGAGCAAAACATATGCAGCCAGCCACCTGTTCGGACTCAAACCACCAAACTACATGTTGATCGCTACCGGCTCCGCTGATTGGTCGCCGGTCTGGCTGCACCTGCACTCGCCCCCCATACTACTTGATGTCTGGGGTCGCCCCAACCTCCTACCTCAGAATGTTCAGTGCTCTCGTTGTTACCACTCCTCCCGGCTAGACGCTAGCGTGTACTGAGGGAAGTGGTAGCTTAAGCCAATATTCCAGCACCTCCCATTTACTTGTATATTGCACTTCTTGTTATTTTGTCTTAACGTAACTTTTCATTGTGTCATTTAAGTATTCTTATTATTTTGATTGAGTTTATTATAAGAATTTGTTTGTGCATTTTATTCATGTTTTGATTTAATTAACGTAATTAAAATTTCATTGTTAAAGTTTACTTGTGTTTTGTGTGTCTTCTCCTTACCTTACCACAGACGAAGTTCCAGTTTTTCTATTTTTTTTTATAACTATGTGACGAGGCCATACCCCTAGCCTTAAACAGCCGAACACCAACGCGTTACCGTCACAATATATATATATATATATATATATATATATATATATATATATATATATATATATATATATATATAATATAATAAGCCAAGTTTTCCTTAATTTATATATTTTTCTATTTTCTTTTTCTTATGAAATGATAAAGCAATCCATTTCATTATGTATGAGTTAATTTGTTTAAATTTGAGTTAAAACTAACGGAGATATACAACCGAACCTAACCAACCAAACCTAACTTAACCTAACCTATCTTTACCTAACCTAAACTAACTCAACTAAGTCAATAATTTATGTTCTTAATATAGTAATAATAATTCAAATAAACTAACTGGAAACAATTTATTGAAAATAAAGAAAATCACTCGGCCTATTAGGCAAATCGGGCCTTGCATAGTAGGCTGAGAAGTGCGTTCTGGCTACTAGGTATGACATATATATATATATATATATGTCGTACCTAGTAGCCAGAACTCACTTCTCAGCCTACTATTCAAGGCCCGATTTGCCTAATAAGCCAAGTTTTCCTGAATTAATATATTTACTTTAATTTTTTTCTTATGAAATGATAAAGCAACCCTTTTCTCTATGTATGAGGTCAATTTTTTTTATTGGAGTTAAAATTAACGTAGATATATGACCGAACCTAACCAACCCTACCTAACCTAACCTAACCTATATTTATAGGTAAGTTTAGGTTAGGTAGCCAAAAAAGCTAGGTTAGGTTAGGTAGGTTAGATAGACGAAAAAACATTAATTCATGAAAACTTGGCTTATTAGGCAAATCGGGCCTTGAATAGTAGGCTGAGAAGTGCGTTCTGGCTATTAGGTACGACATATGTATATATATATATATATATATATATATATATATATATATATATATATATATATATATATATATATATATATATATATATATATATTTAATGTGACGAGAAACGTAGGTGTTAAAGCAGTCTTCTCTATAGCTGGTGTAAATGTCAATCATATAAAAAAAGAGAAACAAAAATGTTGACTGCTTGGCGGTTGTCTCCTGTGGTAAAGTGAATGGGAAAAACACGCAAAACAAATCTTATAAATAATGAACTTTAATTTACTTTAAACAAATATAAACAAAATAAAGATAATCCCTTGGCTATGTACAGTGCGGATCAAAATATATATACAAAGACAAACCACAATATAAAATAAAATAATGATTACGTTATGATAATGATTAGCCAAAGCTCAACCCCCGCAAGCCCAAATAGGTGAGTAAACACACAAACATTTTTCTGTTTATATGTTTCCTGTTTTCGTGAATGCTGTGTATGTGCATGTATGATGTACCTGTGTGTGTATGCTGTGCCTCTTTGCGAAAATGCAGCTCTTGTTTGCGTGTAAAATGTTTTTTAGCGAGCATTCTCTGCTTATTTGGGACCATTATATACCTCCTTTCCTGTATGCTCTGCTTACATGCCAGTATACGTTCATCCTATTTTCGGTACCGTGAGAGCTTCTGCCAACGTCAAAGCACTGAGTTGCCAGCTGAGCAGATCAAGCTGGTAATGAACGCCAGCTGTAACGACGGAACGCCCAGGGGAGCGTTAAATATGATAATTGGATAATCGCAGGAAACAAGTGGCGTCATTTACAAGTCAGAATGATTAAACTGCTTAACGCCTGAGCAGGTCCAGCTGCTGTTGCGTCAGTGTCATGCGGCTGTGATACGTATAGTGTTGTGATACGTACTCAGGGTAAACCTACCCCTATACTGTGCTCCAGGGAAACCTTTTTACTTTCAAACATATCTTCTATCAAGCCCTCTGGGTGCGGGTGGGTCAAGGCCTGCCCCCCAGCGAAATTACTCCCTAAAATTCACCAATTATATGTTATGATATTCCTTGTCCAGTGTGGAAGGATCTAAGTAGCAGGTATACTTTATGGCTCGTTAATCACAGTACCCTTTCCCATGACAAAACCACCTGGCACTGCCTGTTATCAATTACGTTATCTCAGAACCCTCCTCCCTGGGACAGGGATAAACCCTCTGAAGGAAGTTCTGTTGGGAATATCTCATAACCCCCAGTTATAAGAAAATGTTCCCTAAACTCACTCCCACAACCACAGAAACAATGAAGCAAGCTTAGAGATGCTTACAGTAATAATACTTATTAAAGAAGCTCGGTGACAATGCTTGAAAAAGAGTACAAAAAGATTTATCGGAGGAAAACTCCATAGAGTCAACAAGACATGACCGTTAGCCCACCAGGTCAGTTACCAACTGAATACGCATTTCCACGGTGCCTGAGAGTAACCCAGGTGATCATAGAGTAACGGTCTACTCTGATTCATTTGACCACCACCAATTTCCTACATTGTCACACCATAAACAATGTATTGTACTAGCTGTTTGTTAATTCACCAATTTGTACATTATCTTCACTTGAAACTAGCCAGGAGCTTACATGGTAAAAATCACAAATACGTCTGGCAGAAATACAGGTTCAACTGCCTCCAAACGTATCGTGTTTTCATTATCTGTTTGCATCATTATCATGTCGCACTATTGAAGACCACACTGATCATAGCAGTCGTCACTTCATCAGACCGTTCTCACCATTCATTAAGCGTCAAATATGGAGTGGTTTAGCCTAACTTGAAGAGTTCGACCATGTGCAGTTAAACTATGCAATCAAAGCCGAAGCTCTCAGGTACATGAAAACGAAACATCTATGGTGGTTAAATTTACACTAAAACATGGAAATTGTGAAGTTGTGATCATTAAAGTGAGGCAAAAAGTTTATAAATTAGGACTTCAGCATTATGCGCGGAATCTCTAAAATAGTTTGCACAAAGGAATAGAGTTAAAAAAAAATAAAAGGCGCAGAAGACATGTATCTGAAAACTCCTAATTATTGTCAGTCACAGGTGTTTGTGCGTGACGTAAAAAACCACCTTTTTATCTCAAGTGTCCAAGATCATTAAAATATAGTCGTTGTCTTTTCTTTATTTTTTTAAATTTAATATATATATATATATATATATATATATATATATATATATATATATATATATATATATATATATATATATATATATATATATATAATGTCGTACCTAATAGCCAGAACGCACTTCTCAGCCTACTATTCAAGGCCCGATTTGCCCAATAAGCCAAGTTTTCATGAATTAATGTTTTTTCGTCTACCTAACCTACCTAACCTAACCTAGCTTTTTTTGGCTACCTAACCTAACCTTACCTATAAATATAGGTTAGGTTAGGTTAGGTAGGGTTGGTTAGGTTCGGTCGTATATCTACGTTAATTTTAACTCCAATAAAAAAATTGACCTCATACATAGAGAAAAGGGTTGTTTTATCATTTCATAAGAAAAAACCTATAGTAAATATATTAATTCAGGAAAACTTGGCTTATTAGGCAAATCGGGCCTTGAATAGTAGGCTGAGAAGAGAGTTCTGGCTACTAGGTACGACATATATATATATATATATATATATATATATATATGTCGTACCTAGTAGCCAGAACGCACTTTTCAGCCTACTATGCAAGGCCCGATTTGCCTAATAAGCCAAGTTTTTCTGAATTAATATATTTTCTCTAATTTTTTTCTTGTGAAATGATAAAGCAACCCTTTTCTCTATGTATGAGGTCAATTTGTTTTTATTTGATTTAAAATTAACGTAGATATATGACTGAACCTAACCAACCCTACCTAACCTAACCTAACCTATCTGTATAGGTTAGGTTAGGTTAGGTGGCCGAAAAAGTTAGGTTAGGTTAGGTTAGGTAGGTTAGGTAGTCGAAAAACAATTAATTCAGGAAAACTTGGCTTATTAGGCAAATCGGGCCTTGCATAGTAGGCTGAAAAGTGCGTTCTGGCTACTAGGTACGACATATATATATATTATATATATATATATATATATATATATATATATATATATATATATATATATATATATATATATATATATATATATATATGCAATTGACGCATATACACTGATCAAAACTGATCATTTTATATGCGGAAAATCCACAGAGAAATATGAAAGGAAGTGAACATTTCGGCCTGTTAAAGCCTTTAACTGGTGTTAACTAGAGTCTGGTGTTGACAAAGGCTTTAACAGGCCGAAACGTCCACTTCCTTTCATATTTCTCTGTGGATTTTCCGCATATATATATATACATATAATAAAAAAAATAAACGTTCTCTTTCAACAAAACTTAAACATGGTTAAAGGTATTGTTTCATTACCATATCTCTATGGCCTTATCAAGACTCATAAGCCTAACTATCCCATGAGGTCTATCATCAGTTCTGTGGGATCTATTTCTTACAAGCCTTCTAAATGGCTTACCAAAATCCTGTCCCCCATTGTTAGGAACTATTTCACCTACTCATTTGACCAAATTTATTGAATTAGTTAACAAATTGAATATTGTTCCAATCATTCGTGATGTCAAGTTAGTCAGTTTTGACGTTTGTTCTTTGTTCACTATGGTTCTGGTTGATGATATTCTTGATTATCTTGCTTATGAATTAATGAACCATGGATTACCTCTGCCTTCAGATATTATTGTCAATCTCGTTAAACTATGTATAAAAGAATATAAATTTACTTTCAATAATGAGTATTATTTACAGACTTTTGGAATGGCAATGGGGAATCCTTTATCGTAAATGCTTTTCAAACTTGTACAATTAAAAAAATAATAATAATAAATTACCCTCGGAATCATTCCATGGTTTAGATATTTTAAGAATATTGTGTGTATATGGGGCTACAAATGTAAATTCAGACGAATTTGTAGTTAAACTTAATGATCATGTCACTTCTTTAAAATTTACCATAGAGACTGAAATTAAAAAAAATTTGCAATTTTTTGATATACTTATTAATAGGGAAGATTTTTCACCCTAATTTAGTGTTTACAGAAAGTCTACGAATAATTTCTTATATTCATTATTTCTCAGGGCATAGATACAACGTGAAACAATAATTTTTTTCCTCTATATATCTAAGAGCTCTTGGGGTTTTTAGTCCATAATTCTTGGATGAAGAATTCCCTAAAGAAAATTGATTCTATTGGTCTCAAACTTTGTTATCCACTGTTTTTTTTAAGCTTGCCGTAGCAAAGTACGTCGTACATATTATAATAATATATGCAATGAGAAAATTCGTTAAAAAAGTTTTATGTTTACCATATGTTTCTCATAACCATAAAGTCTCCAATGAAAAGGCAAACGCCAATATGATTGGTTCCACGGCCATCACAGGAATCGTCAGAACGAGGTTGAAGGTGACATCAAAATGCCCTCGGGGCTCCAGCTCCGGAGTGTACCTCGAAGTTAGTAAAAGAAGGCACAGGGACTCCATATACCCGGAGACCGCCGTGGTTGGTGCTGGAGAAGAACCACCCCGGCATTGTTAAGAACGACCCCGGCCTACTGGGGCCAGATTCACGAAGCAGTTACGTACGTACTAACGAACGTTTTCCTTCTTAGCATCTTCGTAGCGGCTACGTCGGTAGTCAGGTAGGCATCTAAATATGAAAATCTTCGTAAGTATACACTGTCGTGCTTAGGACGCTCCTGACCACTCGTAACTTTACGCAAACTGGATATAACTCAATTTTTCTCTAGTACACAACACGGAGGATCGATTTTATTATAAACAAACATTTTAGCAGGCGAGTCTCATCAAGAAAGAGTCCTTCGTGTTAGCTATATATGCATTATCTGCTTGAAACTTGTAGTGTGTCTTTTATGACATTAGAATTAGTTTTATAATAGCAAGATATTATACCAGTAGTTAATAAGTAAACAAACACTGGTGAACATGAAATATGAGAGAAGGTGATGATCCCAGGCTGGTGGGAGCATTTACTGTCACCAAATGCCCCTGTTCACCTAGCAATAAGTGTAGCTAGGGTGTACCTTAGCTATACATACCCATTATTAATTTATTTAGTTTGGTTTTATTTTGAAATTAAATCTGGGTGAGAAATAAAAAAAATATGCTGCACAAAGGATGTTAGGTAATACTAGATACTTAGGATTATAATTATGACTATATTGACTATTATGGCCTGTTAAAAAGAGAGGGGGAAGCAGGGGTTCAAGACCTCTTCCTGTTACACAATTTGGCTGTGTGTAACAATCAGTAATTATCAAAAGAAGGCACCAAGCCCGGAAGGCTATGTAGCAGCATTGTGGGTAACAATTAACCTATTTTTATATTAACAGATAGTGCACCTGTGAGTAAAACAAATCCTGTCAGCAATAAAAATAGTGACCCAGTTATTTAAATAAAAAATATAATGCAACAAATATGAATGGGTTGTTTAAACTATCATTTCTACTGTATATACAAAGAAGTGAAAAATTGACATACTTCATAAATTAACCATTCAAAAGAAATACAGCATTAATAACATTGTCGTCTTTTCATCTTCTAGTATGTGATTTATTCTACATTACTAATATTCCGTATCAATATAAGATCTTAATGATCCATGGTTAACATTTATGATTTAAAAAGGATAATACTGGTAATAATATATATTAGCCCCCACTCGCAAAATCCTGGTACAGCACAAGAATATCTTCCAATATTCCTGAGTGTAAGAAGTAATTACAGAGCTCGAAGTACCTCATACCATTTAGTCTGAACTCATTAATAACAGGGCACTCACATAGTGTTGAAGAGTATGTCCTCTCAAGTAGGACTGAAAACAGATGTTTTTTTTTTTCCCCAGAGGGTTATAAACCGAGGATCACCCCTAAACGTACACAGTACCGTGACCATCGCACCAATGATCGTCTAATTGGTGAGGTGGTCACGGTATTGTGTACTTTTAGGGGTGATCCTGGACGGCATGGGTTCGAATCCTGGCAGGGTCAAAGAGTTCTTAGTGATCTATGGCTTGCTCGTTCATGAAGCTTTCTCACACACACACACACACACATTATAATATATATATATATATATATATATATATATATATATATATATATATATATGTCGTACCTAATAGCCAGAACGCACTTCTCAGCCTACTATTCAAGGCCCGATTTGCCTAATAAGCCAAGTTTTCATGAATTAATGTTTTTTCGTCTACCTAACCTACCTAACCTAACCTAACCTAGCTTTTTTTGGCTACCTAACCTAACCTTACCTATAAATATAGGTTAGGTTAGGTTAGGTAGGGTTGGTTAGGTTCGGTCATATATCTACGTTAATTTTAACTCCAATAAAAAAAAATTGACCTCATACATAGAGAAAAGGGTTGCTTTATCATTTCATAAGAAAAAAATTATAGTAAATATATTAATTCAGGAAAACTTGGCTTATTAGGCAAATCGGGCCTTGAATAGTAGGCTGAGAAGTGAGTTCTGGCTACTAGGTACGACATATATATATATATATATATATATATATATATATATATATATATATATATATATATATATATATATGTTTCATTGAATATGACCGCATATTCTGTATTTATTATTTTCTGGTTTAGGGCTTCTATCCCTCTAACTATTTTCTTAGCATCAGGGCTTAATTGAAATAGGAGTTCTCCAAAACTCATTTTCGTACTTTTAAGGTGAAGAAAAGAAGTGATTTACTATAGAGTGTATTACACTTATTTGTATAATTTGCACGACGTTTCGAACCTCCATGGTTCATTCTCAAGTGAACAGATCTTACAATACTAGTTGATTTTATACCCGCATTAGGTCAGGTGATAATACAATGAAGGTGAAAACATGGGGGGATACATAAGGGATAAATGTGAGGTGAAACATAGAGGCTGCAGAAGGCTTATTGGCCCATACGAGGCATCTCCTATCTAAACACAAAGATTAATCCAGTGTAATTGGCCTGTTATGTTGGACATTGTCTTCCGTGTTGGCATCGATATGTTCTTGTCTTGTCCTTACTCTCATGGTGGGTAGAGTAAATAGTTCCGTGATTTGGGTGTTCATGGTAGGTCGCTCTATTCTTATGTGAATTGCCTCAAGAATTTGTAATCTTCTTGAATCTTGGGTTTTGTCTATTATGCAAGTATTCTTGTTCAACATTTCTCTTGTTAGAGTAATGTCATGGGCTTGTCTCATGTGATTCCTAGGGGCACCAGATTGAAGATGGCATGTCAAACGCCTCGTCAGCTTGGTCGACGTCATACCTATGTACTTACATTGAAGGTTACATCCTTCGTGGGGGCAAGTGTACATGTATACAACGCTTGACTGCTGTAGAGGGTTCTCCGTCGGCTTCGGGCTGTTTTTGATAAGGAGTTCGGAAGTCTTCTTGGTTTTGTAGAATATTATCAGGTTTATGTTTTGGTTAGGAGTAGTGCTTTTTACTCCTTTACGGATTATTTCTTTCATTATTCTTTCCTCTTATATGTTCACTGTGCATGGTTGATTTGTAATATAATTTTATTGGGGGTGTTGTGGTTTCTGTTCTAGGTTCTGAATTATACCAACGGTCCAAGTGTCTTCTTATAGCAGCGTTTATTTCCGCGTTGCTATATCCGTTGTTCACCAATACCTGAGTTACTCTTTCAAACTCTCTACTCACGTTGCTCCATTCAGAGCAGTAGGTAAGCGCTCGACGAATATAAGCATTCAGAACACTGGTTTTGTATCTTTGGGGGCACTCACTTCTACCGTTCAGGCATAATCCTATGTTGGTGGGCTTGGTATAAACGTTGGTGCTTAAAGAGGTTCCTGTTTTTGTTATTAGTACATCCAAGAATGGCAGACTGTTATTTTCACTATTTTCATGTGTAAATCGGAGTACTGACTCTCTATCTAGGTGTCTTTTTAGGTCAATTAGTTCATCTGAGTCTTTTACTATTACGAATATGTCATCTACATAACGGCAGTATACAGTTGGTTTTTGTCTGCTACTGAAGACCCTATCTTCGATGGTTCCCATATAAAAATTAGCAAATAAAACTAAGGGGGAGCCCATTGCTACTCCGTCTATTTGTAAATACATGTCTCCTTGTGGAGACATGTTTTATTTGGAGTTTTATTTGCTAATTTTTATATGGGAACCATCGAAGATAGGGTCTTCAGTAGCAGACAAAAACCAACTGTATACTGCCGTTATGTAGATGACATATTCGTAATAGTAAAAGACTCAGATGAACTAATTGACCTAAAAAGACACCTAGATAGAGAGTCAGTACTCCGATTTACACATGAAAATAGTGAAAATAACAGTCTGCCATTCTTGGATGTACTAATAACAAAAACAGGAACCTCTTTAAGCACCAACGTTTATACCAAGCCCACCAACATAGGATTATGCCTGAACGGTAGAAGTGAGTGCCCCCAAAGATACAAAGCCAGTGTTCTCAATGCTTATATTCGTCGAGCGCTTACCCACTGCTCTGAATGGAGCAACGTGAGTATTGAGTTTGAAAGAGTAACTCAGGTATTGGTGAACAACGGATATAGCAACGCGGAAATAAACGCTGCTATAAGAAGACACTTGGACCGTTGGTATAATTCAGAACCTAGAACAGAAACCACAACACCCCCAATAAAATTATATTACAAATCAACCATGCACAGTGAACATATAAAAGAGGAAAGAATAATGAAAGAAATAATCCGTAAAGGAGTAAAAAGCACTACTCCTAACCAAAACATAAACCTGATAATATTCTACAAAACCAAGAAGACTTCCGAACTCCTTATCAAAAACAGCCCGAAGCCGACGGAGAACCCTCTACAGCAGTCAAGCGTTGTATACATGTACACTTGCCCCCACGAAGGATGTAACCTTCAATGTAAGTACATAGGTATGACGTCGACCAAGCTGACGAGGCGTTTGACATGCCATCTTCAATCTGGTGCCCCTAGGAATCACATGAGACAAGCCCATGACATTACTCTAACAAGAGAAATGTTGAACAAGAATACTTGCATAATACACAAAACCCAAGATTCAAGAAGATTACAAATTCTTGAGGCAATTCACATAAGAATAGAGCGACCTACCATGAACACCCAAATCACGGAACTATTTACTCTACCCACCATGAGAGTAAGGACAAGACAAGAACATATCGATGCCAACACAGAAGACAATGTCCAACATAACAGGCCAATTACACTGGATTAATCTTTGTGTTTAGATAGGAGATGCCTCGTATGGGCCAATAAGCCTTCTGCAGCCTCTGTTTCACCTCACATTTATCCCTTATGTATCCCCCCATGTTTTCACCTTCATTGTATTATCACCTGACCTAATGCGGGTATAAAATCAACTAGTATTGTAAGATCTGTTCACTTGAGAATGAACCATGGAGGTTCGAAACGTCGTGCAAATTATACAAATCAGTGTAATACACTATAGTAAATCACTTCTTTTCTTCACCTTAAAAGTACGAAAATGAGTTTTGGAGAACTCCTATTTCAATTAAGCCCTGATGCTAAGAAAATAGTTAGAGGGATAGAAGCCCTAAACCAGAAAATAATCAATACAGAATATGCGGTCATATTCAATGAAACATGTTTGAAAGAAAACCTGCTGCCAGTATACACCAATATATATATATATATATATGAAACAGAAAACCGTGAAATAGAAAACACCTCTCTGCAATGCCTGATGTTTGATGCGTGATGCATATTCGCTTGTGGGTAAAATATCTAAGCTCTACCCAGCGTTCCTTTACTCTGAACAATAAACACGCCTGACAACAAAGAACTTAATATTTTTGAGGTCGGTATTTTTCCATGCTGGTCTGAGGCAAGATCCATTGTTCACTATATTATTATTAATTACCGATATGTCTTCGCTAGTCTCTTGGAATAAATCGGATTTTGATCTTTACGTCAGTCCTTGAAACAGTCTAGTCTTCGGTTTGAGCTTCAATCTCTCACTAATATCTTAAGACAATTCTGCTCCGCCCACATGGTGCTTCGTCGCTGCTAAAAATTCTTAAATATTCAAAGATAAATTTCACCTCATAGGAGATTGTCGTTTCCAATCGTCTCCGTCGCTTCAGTCTCTTCATAACAAAAACTCTCCATTAGGAACTGTTTTTCTTCCCTTACAATATATCTAAATAAAGTAACAAAACCAACACATACAAGCTGGCCAAGAGCGTCGAGCAGCGGTGCTTCAGCTCTGGGGAGGAGCCTCTCTCTCTCTCCCCCGTGTTGGTGCTCCAAGACTCTCACACAACGTCAAGGGGCCAGGCAGGTCCAGGCGCAAACCGTAAAGCCTATTACAATCCATTTCGTGCGGCGAGGAGGCTGCTCTATTGTTGCTCACGCAGGCTTGGTAGACACCATTTTCTCGGCGGAAAGGAAGTGCCCAACCTTTTGGATGGTCGGGGATTGATCGCCGACCTGCATGAAGCGAGATCGTCGATGTACCGTCTCCAGTATAACGTCAGAGGTATAACCTTTTCGTCGACTGGGTAGACACCATTCTCCGGTCTCTGGTTAAACCACTCTGGTATAACCTCACTGATTAACCCTCTTGGGTATAGCCTCCCTGGCATAAAGTATACTCAGTATAATCTCTTCGTGGTATCTTATCGTCTCAATGGCATACTGTAAGCCCAGTATGAAAGTATAATGAAGAGCGTCTGATTTTTATCTAATCTTTTCTCGTATTAATTTATGTAAATCTATGATGGACGCAATTGGTACTTATAGTGCCACGTTCAGGTCGAGGAGGCGATCTGGAGGTAACGTTACTCTGCGTGCTGCCGCGTTCCTGTATGCGTCAGCTGGATAACGCAAGAGCAAGCTGCCGCGTTCCTGTATGCGTCTATCTGCGAGTCCATGCGCATTCGTATGTTTACCCGTCAGGATGTGAGCCCGTCAATATGGCTGATTTCCTGTAATTCCACGTTCGCGAAGCTATCCGTGTGTCGGGCAGTATCATTATCAGTAGTAATGGTTGCCACTACTACCAACAGTAGTAGTGGCAACAGTAGTGAGGCAAATGTAGTAGTAGCAACAGTAGCAGTAACAACAGTAGTAGTGGCAACGGTAGTTGCAACATTAATGGCATCAGTAGTAGTTGCAATAACAGTAGCAACAGTAACAATAGCAACAGTAAAAAGTAGTTCTTCATACTACTTTATTAGTATAGCATCAACACAAGCAACTGTAATAACAATACAAGCCGTAGCAACAACAGCATGAGTAGTAGTAGGATGAACAGTAGCAGCATAAACAGAAGCACCAATATGAGTATTAGCAGCAGCATTAACAGAAAAAAACAGCAGAATTACCATCGGTATCAACAGCAGGATTAGCAGCATTGAAAGTAGTGTCAGTAGCAGAGACATTAGAAATTGCATCAGTAAGGACAGGAGAAGAAGCAGGAGTAACAAAAGCAAACGCAACAGCAGTAAGAGAAACAACAGCAGTAGCAAGAGCAGCACCAGAAATAACAACTTTTGGAGCATGAGAAGTAGCCGCAGCAGAAGTATCAGCTGTTGCAACAGTAGGGCTAGCAGGAGCAAAAGCAGCATTAGTAGCAGCAACAACAGCAGTAATCGAAGTAACAGCAAAATAGGGATATAGCAGTAAATAGAACAGTAGCAACAGCAGAAGCAGCTGCAGTAGAATCAGCATCACTTGTCATAGCAATAGTAACAGTGGCACCAGTAGAGGAAACAATATTAAAAGTAACAACAACAGAAGCAGTAAAAGCAGTAGCAAAAGCAGCAGTAATTGCAACAACAGCACCACTATTAGCAGTAGAAGCAACACCGACAGTACTGCCATGTCTACTATTACTGCTGCTGCTACTAGTGAATGATTGATAAATGAATTGGCATTTATTTTTAAGTATACACGCATTTTACATTCAAAATTGCGACCATTTATTTGAAGCAAAAGTCACACAAGGGCCACAAAGGCCCCAAGGGCCACAAAGGCCCCAAGGGCCACAAAGGCCCCAAGGGCCACAAAGGCCCCAAGGGCCACAAAGGCCCCAAGGGCCACAAAGGCCCCAAGGGCCACAAAGGCAACAAGGGCCACAAAGGCCCCAAGGGCCACAAAGGCCCCAAGGGCCACAAAGGCCCCAAAGGCCACAAAGGCCCCAAAGGCCACACACATCATTTTTCGGCATGTCTGCGCCTATCCATACCTGCCACGTTGAAGAGAAATATTCTATTCTATAATGGTTCCAGTGGTATGACACCATATACTACGAGCACTTCTAAGGTGGTTCCCTTGGTATGTCACCATATGGTATGAGCTCTTCTATAATACTTTCCCCTGGTGTGTCACCATACCAGATGAACACATCAGTAATGGTTCCCATTCCCAAGAACTGCTAAGAATCTATCGTCCTTAGATGAGTGGGCCGCTCTGGCTGTTAGTACTCCGGTTAAGCACTCGTGGAACGACACCTGGGTGCTTCATAACACTCCATGTAGCGACGCAAAGCGACCTATTAGAATAATAATGATGCTTAATTTTTATGGCTCATATAACAGGTTGGTTATCAATAAAGAGGATCTATGGCCCCACGAGACACATTAACAACGGTAATAATCTCATGAATAGGTTGGAAAATCGTCATTGGGAATTTTTCTTTCCCGTCTTTCTCCGGAGGTCTGTTTTATCTCCGGCGGCGGCGGAGGAGGAAGAGGAGCAGCAGTAGCAGCAGCAGCAGCAGCAGCAGCAGTAGCAGCAGCAGCGGCGGTGGCAGCGGCGGCGAAGGAGGAGGAAGAGGAGCAGCAGCAGCAGTAGCAGCAGCAGCAGCAGCGGCGGCGCTACAGGAGTGGCTATTTCCCGGAGACTATTATATCCAAGGCTGCCTTCCGCTCACCCACCTCTGCCTGCTATGCCTTTGATCTTATGATAACTGGCGACGGCGTCTCACCTCACTACACCTCAGCGCTCGCCTGTGTGTGTGTGTTTACTAGTTCTGTTTAATATTTGTGTCTGCTGAATCGAGCTATTAGCTCTTGGACCCCGCCTTTCTAATCAATCTGTTTTTCCTCTATTATATCTACTACATATGTTTCTCTCTCTAACAAACGCACGCACACATTTCCAGGAAGCAGCCGATAGAAGCTGCCTAACTCACAGGTACCTATTTACCGATAGGTGGACAGGGGCATTGGGGTGAATGAAACTCTGCCTGTTGGTTACCGCCTCCGTCGGGAATCGATCCCGGGCCATTCGGACTATGATTCAGCCACGAGGTTGTGTGTGTATTCACCTTCTTGTACTTCCGGGGATTGAGCTCTGCTCTTTCGGCCCGCCTCTCAACTGTCAATTAACTATTACTAACTACTATTTTTTTCCCCCCGCGCACACACACACACAGTCGTGGTGGACAGACGTGGGTTGGGAAACTCCTGGGTTACTAGAGAATTGGGAAGGATAATCAGATTACACTGTAATGAAAAAGTGTATATGAGTGAATGAATAACTAGTAAACTGACTCAAACAACAAGAAAATGAAGAAAGAAAATTGAAATAGCGGCACTGATGCTGAACACATTGTGGTATTGTGAAATAGTGGAGCAGACCTCGCAGTGGCCGTGACCTCACCAGCCTCAATCTGTGACCGACCGTGACCTCACACCGGCTGCAACGTTATCTGACTCACCGAGTGAAGAGAGATGCCAGGGTATTTGCTCACCGTTTGTGTAGCAGGTCATGCAAGGTATTTGGAGCGCCTGTTGGCTAAGGTTGTTTATCACAATGACGAAATCAGGAAGAGCCTCTAGGTCAAGCACCAGCAGGGAAGAGGAGGAAGATAGATTTGTAGACAAGCTAATATGGATGTTTGTTGAGAGAAGGGACGTTTGGATAGAGGATCTAATCCAAGGCATTAAGAGTGAGATCTTTCAACAAATACAGGAAGAGGTTGAGAGACAGAAACAAGAGCTGGGGAAATATATTCAGGGAGAAATTAGGAAGAGTAGGGAAGCATGGGAGAGTGAATGTGCTCGGCTTGCAAATGAATTAGGCCGAGCTAACAGCATGGCTAGGGACAGTGGATTAGAGGGGATGAATTAGTGAGTGTGGGAGGGACTGGCAGGTATCCAGGGGAGGGGGGGGCTATCAGCATAAGAGTGAATCACTGAGAAGGCAGTCAATTATCCACCAATGATTATTCGAATCTTGGGCAACATCAAAACATGAAAAGAAAGAAATGGAAAAAAATTAATTACATGAGATTTTGAGATGTGTTAGGGCCGAGATGGCAGGAAACGATCTGGAACTCAGCTGCCGAATTAGACCTTACAATTGTAACAAGACTCGGCCTGTTCTGGTACAATTCTCTAATGAAGAGGCTGTGGATTAGGTAATGAAGAACAAACATTTACTCAGAGGCAGCGAAGCCCATTACAATGTGTTTATTGATAGATATATGAAGAAAGATGAACAAATAGCCCGCAAGGCGAAATGGCCTGCACGTCACCAAAACCCTAGCCTCCTAAAAAGCCCCACCACTCTTTCCCAGGTCACAGCCTCCCCAACTCTGCCCTTTCATCCCTCCCCCCTGCTTCAACCCCCAACAACTCCCCTGTCCCTACCACACTTGCACTCAACTCAACCTGCTACATCGCACCCTTCAATGACCCTATGAGACCAAGCCATACCCTCCCTAAACCAACTTTCCCACCCATCCTCCCCTACTAACCCCTGCAACTCTCCTGCCCCTCCTCTACCCGACTGCCTTCAATTCCATCTGCTCCGTTCCAGCTCCCAATGCCCCCCTTTCTTCTCCTCACCCCGAAACCCGACCCAACCCTCACCCCTCCTCTGCACCCCATCTCCCATATGACCCACTCACCTTGTGACCCCCCATCTCTTCCCCCCATCTCCCTCTTTCCCTCTTATACCCTAAAATCCACACCTATCCCTTATCCCCTCCCTGACTAATACAACCTCTCTTCCACTCTCAACACCCATGATCCATTCTCCCCTCAGCCCTCCATCCCCAATATCCTTCTCCCCCTAAACCTCTCAACCTCTATCTGATTCTCAGCCTCACTCTACTTCTCAGCCCCCCTATGCCATTCAGACCCTCCCTAATTTTCAGACCCATTATGCCCTTCCTACCCACCCCGCCTCCCCGCCCCCTAGATGTTCAGATCCCATTCACCTACCCCTGACTTATCAGACACCCTCCAGACTCCCAGAACCCTATAGAAAGGGTGAACTCTGGTACCAGAGTTTCCAAGAGTGTCTCAAGGTTTGATACACCAATGCTGATGGCGTATCCAATAGAGAAGAAGAGATAAAAGAGAGTTAGTGAAGCAGATCCAGACATAGTTTCAATAGTGGAAAATAAAATAAATGGCATGATCTCGGATGCTATCTTTTTCAGAAGGGTACCAAGTCATTAGAAAAGAAAGGACATGGAGACAGGGAGGGGGAGTGGCGCTCCTAATAAAGCAGAAATGGAAGTTTGAAGACCTAGAAAATCGGGGTACCAATGAAAGTACAAGTTTAATACACGGAACTCTGACAGCAGATGGGAAGAAGATTGTGATCTTGATAATCTACAATCCCCCCCACCAAACAATAGAAAGCCCAGGTCTTCTATTGTTTGGTGGGGGATTATTGTATGATAACAACAAGGCATGTATAGATGAACTGCAGAAGGCAGCAACAATAGCTCATAGAATGAGAGCGAAACTGCTGGTCATGGGAGACCTAAATCATGGAGAGTTCAATTCGGAAACAAGGAATCCCCAAGGCGGGAAGGAAACATGGGGGGAGAAAAGTTAGTTGACGTTATAGACAGGAATTTCCTAACACAACATGTAAAGGAAGACACAGGGGAAAGAGGAGGGGATACACTGAGCCTATTAGACCTAATTTTCACCCAGAATGAAGACCTCGAGAATTTGGAAAATGAAATACCACAAGGAGCCAGTGACCATTGTATCCAAGTCTTTGACAACATGATGGAACATAAATTATGACCAAAGGACAAGAGGTCTGGGAAAGGAGAGTTGACTACAGGAAAGGGGACTACAGGAGGATAAGAGACTATCTGGGGGAAGTGCAGTGAGAGGAGGAAGAAATTAGAGGAAAAACAGTGCAAGATATGATGAACCTAGTCATATGGAAATGCAAATAGGCCGGAGAGAGATTTACACCAACAGTAAAGGAAAAAAGTAGGAGGGAATATAATAACCCATGGTTTAATAGGCAGTGTCTGGAAGCAAAAATGAGAAGTAGGAGGGAGTGGAGGAAGTACCGAAGACAAAGGACAGAGGACAACAGGATTAGATGTAACAGAGGTAGGAACGATTACATTAACATAAGAAGAGTATCGGAAAAAAATTATGAGAATGATATTGCCATCAGAGCGAAAAAGCAACCTAAATTACTGCATAGCCATATAAGAATAAAAATGTCGGTGAACGACCAAGTGACAATACTAAGGAAAACCGGAGGGGCATATACAGAAAGTGACAAGAAAATCAGTGAGGCACGGAATGCCAGTTTCCATGGAGTGTTCACCACCGAGCCTGAGCAGCTACCATTTTTAGAAGAGATTACCTTAGATGAAAGACTATCAGATACAGAGGTGACAGAAGAGGAGGTAATGAAACAGTTGAAAACACTGGATGCAACTAAGGCGGTTGGACCAGACAAAGTATCATCGTGGATACTAAAAGAGGCAGCGCAGGCCCTCAGCGTGCCTCTGGCAATGATCTTTAATGAGTCACGTATGTTGGAAGAATTGCCCAGTTGCTGAAGAAGGCAATTGTTGTATCGATTTTCTAGAAATGAGATTGGGAACAGTTATTTAACTACAGTCCCATATCACTGATAAGCATCCCATGCAAAATACTTGAAAGAATAATTAGGCATATACTTGTTGCACACTTGGAGAGCATTAGGTTTTTTTTTTGAGATATATACAAGAGTTCTTACATTCTGGTACAGCCACTAGTACGCGTAGCGTTTCGGGCAAGTCCTTAATCCTATAGTCCCTGGAATATGACCCCCGCGAAAAATCGTTTAACAATCAGGTACCCATTTTACGGTTGGATTAAACAGTAATTTAGGTTAAGGATTTGCGCCCAGTAAATCCTCCCTGGCCAGGATACGAACCCATGACAAAGCGCTCGTGGAACGCCAGGCGAGTGTCTTACCACTACACTACGGAGACTGGAGGTTTGTAAACAAATGCCAACATGAGTTCTGGAAAGGGAAATCATGCCTAATAAATGTTTTGGAATTTTATGATAAAATAACAAGGGTAAGGCAGGACTTAGAAGGTTGGGCAGACTGCATATTTCTAGACTGCCAAAAGGCCTTTGATACAATACCACACATGAGACTGCTATTCAAACTTGAGAGGAAGGCAGGAGTTAGCGAAAAGGCCCCAGCATGGGTAAGGAACTACCTATTACGAAGGAGCCAGCGAGTAATGTTAAAGGGCAAGAAGTTGGGCTGGCGAACAGTAACAAGTGGAGTACCTCAAGGATCAGTGCTGGGACCAATTCTATTTTTAATTTACGTAAATGGC